CTCCGCTTCACCCCAGGCGACATCCCCCTCGTCGTCCGGGCGATCACCTGCGGCGAGAAGGACGCCAACGAAAAGGGAAATGGAAAGGAAAAGGCACCCGCGACCGCCGCTGCCGGGGCGACGGTGGAGCTCACGACGAACTCCCCGCTCGTCGGGCTGCGGGTGGGGTGCGTGGGGTACCGCAAAGGGGAGAACCCCGAGGGGGAGGGCGCCGCGACGGATTTTGAGGTGCACCTGCGAACCCTCGCGAGCCTCCCGCGCGCGGTGCTCCCCGGCGCCGTCTTCACGTTCGTCGCGCACGCCGTGGTGGTTGGGGTGCGGGTGGTCGCCCTCCTCGCACGGGGGGATCCCCATGAGGAGGGGGGGGGGATGGTGAAGTGCCTCCCCGCGAACACCCAGGGGGTGGTGGTGCTTCGCGCGGAGGAGCCGATCGCGGTGGTGCCCGCAGCGATCTGCGGGGCGCTCGGGCGGTTTGCGCTGCAGCAGGATGGGTTGGTGGTGGGAGGGGGGGTTGTTAGGAAGATTATTTGCTAGCCCGTGGAAGAAATATATATATATATGTATATATATATAAGGGATGGGAGAAGACGATGGTGAAACATCAACGCATGGTGAGGGGGTGATGGGTGTGACCAGAGGGGAGGGAGGTGCTTACCCATGGCATGCTTGAGTCTCCTTAATTTTTTTTTTGCCCCTTCCCCTCCCTACAAACGCACAAACACTCACAAAAAAGAGAGAAAAGTGTATTAGTGCATATACACCTATCTTCCTATATGCTTACTGGAAAGTAATTTTTATTCTAAGGGTGACTTGCTGAGGCGATGAACCCAAAAGGCCTTGCGGACCTATGTGAATTTGCCAAGGAAAATATACCATCTCTTAATTCAGCGAGAAAGCTTAACACGCGCTCATGCAAAACGTACTGTTAATCTGTTGTAGGGAAGCGAGCGACAGAAGAGGTTGCTCTTTTGCAAGTTTACAAAATGGGTATGCGGAACTTCGCTTTCGACTAATCTGTTTTTTTTTTTAAACAATCAGTCTCAAAGTTTTGCTTGCTCATCTCTTTCATCTAATCTACTACTTTTAGAAACATTTGCCTTGATAAAAAAAAAATCAGGGTTTAAGATTCTCCATCTGTGACTACACAGATTTACGAATATATGCAAGCCGCAGGCAGACACAAAAACTAATAGATTTTTATTGAATAGTTTATTGTTTAGTCGTAATTGTTCGAAAAGCGGAGGCAGCATAGTATTCAGATAAGCTTGTCTTTTTTCACTAATTAATAACTAACTACGTAGATCAAGCGATTTATATCTATCTATCTGTCTGTATATATACATTTATCACCATTTTTTCGGTGGAAGGATTAGCTCGGCAAGGCCATACATCTGAGGGCCGATAGGGTAATCCTTGTGTGGGATTCATGAGTTTTTTTTTCAATCGTCAAAAAACTCCGAGCGGAAGCTATGACAATGAGTACGAGCTCCTGGACGAGCCCATCTACAGCGCCATGCACATTCCTCTTAGGCTCAACCCAAAGGAGCGAAAGGTGCAGCGACTGATGCGGGGGATTATTTTGGCGTCGTGCTACACCGACAAGGTGGATTCCACCTCCGCGATGAACTTGAAGCGGGATATGATCATCGTTCGGGAGTTGATCAACATCTTCAGTGGGCTCATCATCGGCTTAGATTTCTCCAGTGCGTCGACGCTATTGCGGAACAAGGAGTTCGCGCCGTACAGCGAGGAGGTGCGGACGGCGATTGAAACCTGCCGACGATACAAAATCATGAACCCCGATCTGATGCGCACGGATTACGTGAAGTTTTTATACATGGTGCAGGATGCGGTGCAAAACGTCGGGGTGCGGGATGTGTTGAGTTTCGACGCTGCCTCCGAGCTCGTTACGGTGGGAAGCTATTGCGAGGAGCTCGGCGTGCAGGAGATCTTGAAGGATAGCAGGCTGCCACTTTGCATCACCCCGATCCCCCCGATGGCAAATCGAACCGTACTGAACAAATGTCTTCGTTACAAGGACGTGATGGTGAACAAGATGGTCAAGGAGTACGCCCAGAAGCATCAAAAGAGCGAAGAGAGCATTGAGGTGATTATTCGAAGTCTAAACGATGCCAACTGCTTTTCAAACGATAATGCTAAGACGACGGAGGAGCTGCTCGGGCTCCTGCGGAAGTATTTCCACCCCACCCAGTACGACGACCTCACAAATTTAGCGATTGAGGAGGGCACCTCAGGCAGCCGCATCTCGCACACCCACGCCCGTCAGTACTCCTACGTCGTTCAGAGTCTTTCGCTCTGGAAGGCGATCTGTAGTCGGATGTACATGCTCTGGACGATCGCCGAAAGCGATATGCTCAACCCGGAGGAAAAATACGAGCTCCGTTTCACCGGGCAGGGGCTTCAGCGTGTGCAAAAGGCACCCAAACTCTTTCGTGCGATCGAGGCGATTTTAAAGCAAACGAAGGAGGAGGTTGGGGAGTGGGTGGGCTCGGAGCGGATTCACCTCGGGGATGATCAAGTGCCCAACGCGTTTTACTTTATCGACAAGTATGGGCAGGTTTCCCGCATTCTCGTGCCCATCCTGCGGACCTTGAATAAGGTGGATGAGCTCATGACCAATCGCGATTGCGCCGCCTACATCACGGACGTCTGGGGAAGCGCGGTGAATGCGAAGGTGGCCATTCTTGGGGATTTCTTCCGTCATGGGTTTGATGGGAGCGGTGGGGATAACATGGAGGACGCCGGGAGCTGCATCGACGGACGCCTGACGAGTGCCTGGAACTGGTGTAATAATATTCGCTTTAAAACATTTTATCCTCTTTTCTTGTGGGCCGGGTTTAGCTCTTTTGATGGTGAGATGAGTACTTAATAAAGCTTATCATGGATCTAATGTCCTTATTGCGAATGTGTGTATTTATGGGGTTCTATATTCTCTGTGCACATATTTTTGTATAACATGTAGAAATATAAATTTTTAATATGATTTTCCCCCACCACACGATCGGGTCTTCCGAAGGCGCGGTAGAAAATGATAAAAGTAGCTTGGGTCCACTTTTATTCTTACCCCCATTCCCCCCTTCGCATTTCTTGGTGTGTTGGGAAAATCTTTGCAGAATAATTTGGTGGCTTAGGATTGGGCTTTGTTGCTCTCTGTGAGGCATTCTGAGTGGAATAAGGAGTAAGCATTTTAATTTGTGAGGGTGATTGATATATATTGATTATATCCTTCTGTTGCATTACGGGTTTGACGTTTATTTTCCTCAAGCAATAAGATTACGCCCATGTCCGCCAAATCTAGAAGGTCGTGTTTTCCTTCATGCATTATGGTTCTTTTCTTTTTCTTTATCTCTTTCCTGTCTTTCCACCTGAAAACTGGAGACTTGACTAGGTTCAAAGGAGGTATTGGTGTAAGAAAAGCTCAAATCATTTGAACATGCCACCCAAAGTCCCCAATTTGAGGTTTAAACCCAAGTTGGTCGCCAAGAGCAAGCCGTCAGATCCTCAAAACTCCAACCGCGAGGAGCTCACCCTACTCCAGCTTGAGCGTCTCCAACAAAACCAGCAACCCTCACCCCAACAGTCGTCCGAAACGCCTTATGCGGATTCAGCCCCAGGGGCCTCCCCGCGCGATCCCGGGGGGCTCTCGTCGAAAAACCCCCCTTCCTCGTCTTCGAACGCGCGCCCTGGGGAGGAGCCGATTTCCACGCGTGGCGGCCGGATGATCCCCACGCGGGCGGCCCCTCTTGGTCACGCCAGCGCCGCCTGCTACCCCGATCGTGCGGAGATGCTCCCGGTGGATACGGTGAACGCGATTTTAACCCCCGATGGGGATGGGCTTGATCGCGTGATCTGCCCGATCCCTTTGCAGCCTCCTGAAACGGTTTCTTCTTCGTCATTTTCGGGAAAGGCATCGGGCCCTTCGAGTACTGTGAAGCAGGAGGATGAAGAGGAGACGGAAAGAGGGGGTCCTCGCCCGACGGAGCCGACGTTGCTCGATGGAACGGCGTTTTTACGCGAAGGTGCGGAGGAACTCGCGCGGGCGCATCGTGCGAATTGGCGATTTTATCAGGAATCCCTCTCACCCAAAGCCTCGCTGGATGTGAAGTTGGAGGAAGAAGAGGAGTACGGCGTTGGAGGGGGGGATGCCGCCGGGAAGGGGGAGGGGCCTTTGGTGTATTTGCAGCTCCCGCGTTTTTTTGAGAATCCGCCGTTTGTTTTTGCGAATCTCCCACCGGGGAGGGTAGGGGAGTTGAAGGTGTTCAAAAGCGGCCGGATGGTGATGGATATCGCCGGCGTGCACTACGACGTGTGGGCGGAAGGGGGGGAGGAGGGGGCGTACGCGACGGTGGCCGTTACCCAACCCCCTTCCGATCCGATGGATCCGAACGCGAAGCCGAGCTGCTTTGAGGTGGGAACGTTGAAGATGAAGATGATCTGCACCCCCGCCGTCGAGGAGGATTAAGACGGCTTACCTTGTTCTTCTTTCAAGAGGAAGGAGAGGATCTATACTTCATATATGAATATATGAGTGTATCTATGCATACGGGATGAAATCTCTGTTTAGTTCGAGTGATTTAGAGCAGATCGCGGACGATCATGTTTGCTACTCTTTCTTTCCATCTCGTTGCTGCATCCTCAAGCGCGGAGGAGGTTCATCGTTTAAAATTGAATAATGGTTTAAGGGAAAAAAAAAGGTGCACTCAAAGCACCATGAGTTGGGAAATGGGTGCTAATGTTTTTTTTTGGGGTTATTTTTTCTCGCGTCATCTTTTCAATCGAAACCCCCTGTTGGGTGTGATTCGTTTGCTATCTTTTCCCCAATTTAGTGAACCTTTTCATCTATTGGAAAATTCCTTTAGGTGTGCTGAAGGAAGTATGGAGCCATCCATCCCTAAAAAAGATAAATTCTGGCTTTTCGCCTTTCGTGAGCACCTAGCCAACTTGAAAGCCTATCAAAACTGCATCTACACGGCCGACGTCAACGGGGATGGGGACTATAAACTCCTGGTCGCGGATCAAGAAAAGCTCCTAAAGGTATTTTCCGGTACCACGCTCGAAAGCCAGACGCACTTGGTGGGAGTCCCGTCATCCATCACCTCGTTTTATATCGAATCCCCAAACCCCAAGAAGTGCCCGGTGGTCGCCGTGGCGGTTGGATCGAATATCTTTATGTTTCTATCGGGACAACCGCTCTATCGCTTTGCGATCCCGACCATCCCGACGAACCTTGACGAGATTAACATCTGGAACGCCCTTAGCGGGGGGGAAATTTCGGTCGAGGAGGGCATCGCGCAGCTCGCGCGGCGGCTCGATCAAGGCCTGGAGGTCTCCCCGCGGACGCTGGAGCTGCTTCTCCTCGACAAGGCCGAGCAACCCGGCTACGTCGCGCGGTGGAAGGATCAGCCGCTGGTGCAACCCGACAGCATCACCTGCCTGACGTCGCTTCCGCTTGAAAGTCCCGAGGAGGAAGGGCAGCCCGGGTGTTTGGTGG